TTTCCTAGTCAACTATTAGCACATTGTTGTTGTAGGCAAGAGTGACTCTCACATCTGCGAGCCACAGGCCGCAGGGAGCCCTGGAAATATATGTGTTCAACCGACGCTTCCTAAAAGAACAGTGTTCCATGTTTTCTGGTTGACCAGGCGAGCAGTGGTACCTTACTAAAACTGCGTGGGGACCTCAGAGAGCCACTGGTTCAACTCTTAGTTCTGATTTTACCATTTGGGACCTAGAAAGGTGAGCTGATTTTCCTCGGGTCACACAACCTGACCCCTGAAATGAGGTTACTGTTGGCAGCTGCGGTAGGAAATGTGCCGGAAGTTTGTAAGCTTCGCGGAGTAACTGCCACAACATTGACTGTAGAATGTTCCTGTGAGCTCAATGTGTGTAAAAAGACGGAGTTCATGGTGCCTCTGCTCCATCCCACCTGGGCAAGTGAGGCCGGGTTATTGGAGGTTAATTGGTTGGCGAAAAGGTTCCATTTACATAAATCCTCTTACTTTTTAGGGAGGAACTGAATGGATGAGGGTTTCCTGCCCCCAAATATCAGCCATAATTAAGAACACTTCCATGTTTTATCTACTCAGGAGAAAAAATGGTCAGGCTCTTGCTCCAGCCCAGAATGCAAACAGCCTCTAATTTTCTGGAAGAATGAATCGAAGTGACCAGCCAAGGCTGAAGGCTAGCGGCCTGCACCACTGTAGCATTCGTATGGAATTCCATGGGATCGGCGCTGGCAGGTGCCGGTGTGGGGGGGTGGGGCATAAACAGACGACAGAGACTGAGCGGGTGTGGGTGCAGATCGGAAGGTGTCTGGAGAACAGCTCTGCTATTTCCTTCCAGGAACCTTGAGCAAAAGAGTGACTTCACCCCTCTAGCCTCAGTGGCCTCATGTATGGAAAAGAGCATCACCCCTGTCCACCTCAAGTGGGGTCATAAGGTTCAAGTGACAGCACAGGCGAGGCATTGTGGAGAAAGGGGGTAAGTATTACTCGGGAAGACTGCGACATTTCCAAACGCCCCCAGATTGAATTGAAATGCATCATGGTCCATATTAGTAGGACAATCTGAGAATTTTATTCAGAATTTTGATGTTTTGCCTTATTCTTCCTTTGGCATTCTCACGGCTGAATCCGTTAGACAGTTTTAAGAGCATGAATGCTCTTAGCACTGTGGTAAGTAGTCGTTGGCATAAAGAACCTAAAACCTGCATTCTCTTCCTGACACTGCATTACCTTTCTGGTGGATGAACCCCTCATGTTCCCCACTGTCCTTACTCATTAATTTGGTGCAGACACGGGCGTGGAGGGGCTAGGTGGGCGGAACAAAGCAATCTCTTCCTCCCAGGAGCCTGTCGTCACTCACGGTTGTCCCGCTGTCCCCTCACTGATGACAGAGTTTGTTCTCCCACCTTTGTACCCCATCGCCGCTCCTGACCCTGTTCTGTGTCCTCGTGAAGTCGCGTTCCTTCCTTATTATTCAAGACATTCACATCACTTGCTTTCTCATTTGGATGTTTGAACATCAATCCTTATTGCATATCAGCTGACTGTGGCTTTTGGAATCATGCTGTTAGGCCATAGGTTCCCTCACCCCCTCAACCCCTCCCCCAGTCAGTTCTTTGCTAGTCCTCACACCACCCCTGGAGCCCAATCTCTCAGGCTACAGAGTGCTTCTGAAAGAGTCACGAGACGGGACCGATTGGGATCACTGTGAGTTCCCCCTGGACTCAGCAATCATCTTACTTGTCAGTTTATTGTACATTATTATTGTTGTTGGCCCAATGACCATGTTAGTTCCATTTTCTCAGGCGCCATAGTAAGTCAATTTATTCCTGAAACTACCGTGGCAGCTTCAGTGTCAGGTGGATTTGAGTCTAGTTCAATATGCCATCCGTGCATGTAAACAACTCTGGAGCGATGTTGAATCCACATCCCGGATCTTAGTTTCTCAGACTACTAGGCATATACTTCAGTTTGCAGGTTCTGGAGACTTACAGACCTGCCTTTGGACCTGAATTCCAATACTGTGTTATCTTAGGCACCTTACTTAACATCATTCGACAGACTCGTAAAACGGGAATCATATGCACGCTTCCCCACCTGGGGCAACTAAAAGAGATTAAACATGTAAACATGCCTGGCTGCAAGTGATTGATACCCAATGTTTTTGTTTTCTTCCTTATTACCCTTAGCTTGAATCCTGTCTACTGGTGTTTAATCCTTGGGAGCTAAGAAAAAAAAAAAAAAAAAAAAACAACAGTAGCAAATTGGAAAGCCTAAACATTATAAAACATGAAAAGTGTGCTAATGCTAACCTCTTCCATAAAACTCAAGAGAAAGGAATACTTCGCAATTCATATTAGGAGACTATATTAACTTAATACAAAGACGAGAAAAACACTTAACAGGAATAAAAACAAAAACAGAAACCTACAAAACAAAAGAACTACAGACTGATACCCCTCATAAACACAGATGCAAAAATTCATAACAAAATGTTAGTGATGGCAACAACATTCATTCATGATGGAAACTCTCACCATCTGGGAAAACAGGAGAATGTCCTTAATATGATAAAGGACAACTATAGAAAACTTCTAGATAGTATCCTAATTAATAGCAACACACTGAATCCTTTTCCCTCTCATATCAAGGGGGAAAAAGATAGTTGCTATTACAACATTCACCCATTAGTACTATAGCTAGTCTTAGAAGTTCTGGCCAGTGCATGGGCACCTGGGTGGTTCAGTTGGTTAAGCACCTGAGGTCAGCTCAGGTCATGATATTGCGGTCTGTGAGTTTGAGCCCTGCATCAGGCTCTGTGCTGACAGCTTAGAGCCTGCTTCGGATTCTATGTCTCCTTCTCTCTCTGCCTTCCCCTGTTTCTGCTCTGTTTCTCTCTCTCAGAATAATCATTAAAATAAATTTAAAAACAAAAGAAAACAAAAAGTTCTGGATGGTGCAATAAAGCCAGAAAATAAAAGAAAAAAGGACTCCATACTGGAAAAGAAGTAAAACAGTTGATTTTCAGAAATCATAATCATTTATTTAAAAAAACCTTTTGGGATCTATAGAAAAAGCTACTTGTACATTTAACAAGGTTTCAGGATAAACAACCAATATTAAAAATAAATTGAACAATCAATTTGAAACTAGATAAACAATATGTTTAACATAACATCAAAAACGTGAAATACTGGGGTGCCTAGTATTTCATTTGGGTAGCTCATTTGGTTAAGCGTCCAACTTTTGGTTCCGGCTCAGGTCATGGTCGTGGTTTTATGAGTTCAAGCCCTGCACTGGGCTCTGTGCTGGCAGCATGGAGCCTGCTTGGCATTCTCTTCCTTCCTCTCTGTACCTCCCCCACTTTGTGCTGTCTCTCTCTCAAATAAACTTGAATAAATACTTAAATGAAATAGGAAGGATATATTTGACAAAAGATGTACAAGAGCTAATCACCAAAAACTAGAAAACAGAGCTGAGAGAAATAAGAGTCCTGAGTAAATGAAAAGAGACATTGTGGTCACAGATTGGGTAACTCTATTGTTAAGGCATAAATTTCTCTCAAATTAATTAATGGATTCAAAGCAATTTTTTAAAGTTTATTAATTTATTTTGAGAGAGAGAGAGAGAGAGAGAGAGAGAGAGAGAGAGAGAGAGGGAGAGCATCCCAAGCAGGCTCCATGCTGTTAAGGAAGAGCCCAATGTGGGGCTTGATCCCATGAACTGTGAGATCATGACCTGAGCTAAAATCAAGAGTCAGACACTTAACCCACTGAACCACCCAGGTGCCCCAGATTCAAAGCAATTCTACTCAAAATCATAGCTGGCTTAAAAAAAATTTTTTTTTTGGAAATTGATGAGCTGATTTTAAAATTCAGGAAATGTGTGTGGCATTGTAGATAGATAAACACAAAAATAAAACTGAGTCCAGAATAGACCCATACATATATGATTAATTAACTTTATGTTGACAAGACATTTCAATGGAGGAATAATCATCTTTTAATCAAATAGCGCTGAAACAGTTGGATTGCATATTGAAAAAAAATGAAATTCCACCCTTACCTCATACCATATATAGGAATTAAGTCATAATGAAGAAAGACCTAAATAAAAGAGCTAAAACTTCAATAATGAGGAAAGACCTAAATATAAGAGAAAATCTTAGTTTGGGTTTGGCAAAGTTTCCTTGAAATGACACAAAAGGCATGAAGCAATTGATAACGTGAACTTCAACAAAAGCAAACTCGTACACAATTCCAAAGACACTGTTGTGGAAATGAAAAGACAAGCCACATGCTAGGAGAAAATACTACAAAACATATAACCGACAGAGAGACTGTATTCGGAATATGCAAATAACTTTGCATCGCAGTGGGATAACAAACAACCCAATTAAAAACGGGCAAAAATTTGAACAGATACTACATCAAAGACCATGCATGGATAGCAAATAAGCAGATTGAAAAAAAAAAAAAAAGCTCAATATCATTCATTAATTATTAGAGAAAGGCAAATAAAAACCACCATTGCACGTCTACCAGAAAGACTGAAATTCGGAAGGTTGACCACACCAAGTGTTGGTGAGTAGGTGGAGCAATTGGAATGAAACATGTTGCTGGTAGAAACGTCAGACGGTAAAACTGCTTTGGAAAGCAGTTTAGCAGCTTCGAAAAAAGTTGACGAAACAGCTGCCATATGACCCTACCATCCCGCTCCTGGGTATTTACCCAAGAAAAATGAAAACGGGGGTCTACGGCCAGACTTGATGCAAATGTTCACAGCAGTTTTGTCTACAATCAGGGCCTGTACAAGGTCAAGAGTGGAACGTGTGTACAGACCTGAGAGGGGGCATCTCCTTGACTGTCGTGCACAAGGTGCCTCATTCTGTCACCCTCGTCTGGCTCCTGTTTAAAATCATCAACCCAACGTCCATCAACGGAAACTGGATGGAGAAACTGTGGTATGTCCATAAAATGAGATACTATTCAATGCTCTCTTTGGCAGCACGTATAGTAAAATTGGAATGAAACGGAGAAAATTGGCATAGCCCCTGTATAAGCAGGACACTCACATTTTTGAAGCATTCCAGATTTTTATAAAATGAGTACGTACTGAAAATATAATGTACAGCCTGGTGCCTGTAGTTAATAACACGGTATTGCATATTTGAAATTTGCTAAGGGAGTAGATCTTAAAAATTCTCACCACAAGGAAAAAAATTGTAACTCCGTGTGGTGATGGATGTTAACTAGACTTACCTGGATCATTTTGCAATATATACAATTATATACAAGTATATTATACACGTGCAATGAATATGTCATTTGTAAATTATATCAATAAAAAAGGAAAATAAATACCATTTGGCAATAAAAAGGAATGAACTATTGATTCTGACAACACATGGGTCAATCTTAAAATAATTACTGTGAGTGAAAGAAGTTAGGCAAAAAGAATACGTATTATATGATTCCATTTATACAAAAAACTCTAGATTATATAGATCTAATTATAGTGACAAAAAGGTCAGTAGTTGCCTGGAAACTGGGGATCAGGGAGGCGGTGAGTGCATGGGGACAAAGCAAGGAAGTGTCTGGGTGACAGGGTATGTTCACGTCTTGATTGTACTGATGACTTCACATTTGTATACATGTGTCCAAATTTATCACACTTTACCCTTTCATCTGTGCAGCTCATCTATGTCAGTTATATTTCAACAAAGCTACTAAAAATAAAATGAGGCACAATAAGAATTTAAGACATGAGTCCTTCTTGGATCCTGATTGGGAAAATAAGAAACTTTAGAAATAATTGGGAGTCTTAGAATCTGGACTGGATAGTGAATATATTAGGAGATTAGTAGTACTCTTCTTAGGTATAGTAATGATATCGTTGACATGTAAGGAAATACATGAATTCTTAAGAGAATCATGCTGGCATAGTTAGGGGTAAGATGATCTACAGCTTATTGCAAATAGCCTGGCAAAAGCAAAATAAGAAGAAAAACCACACACACAGAAAAACAGAAGACAATAGAAAAATAAATAGATAAAGCAGATATGGCAAAAATATCAAGACTGTTGAATCTAAGTGTCAGTACATGGGAGTTCATTATACTATTTTTTCAGCAATTTTGTATGTTTGATAATTTTGTCATTAAAACATTGGAAAAACTTACCAAGTAGATTAGAAAAATAATCAAATTATACAAGATAAAACATAATTGAGTTATCAAACTCAATGGATAGGTTTAACTGAAGACATAGCAGAAGATACAATTGGTCAACTGCAAAATAAGTCTTAAAATGCGGGACATCCAAGATGCGGGACAGAGAAAAAGAGAAAATATGAAAGGAAAATTAAGGAAAATGGAGCATGAGAAGGCCTATTGTAAGTCTGGCTGGAACTCCAAGACCAAGAAAAAGAATGGAGCTAGGGCCATCTTTGTAGAAATAATCCCTGAGAATTCCTAGTGAACGTCTGAATGTATAGTGAAAAGAATTCACACTTAGGCACACCTTAATAAAAACGCAGGGCACCAATGGCTGAGAGAAGGTCACAGAAGCTTCCAGTGGGGGGCAGGAGGGATGATGTGCAAAAGACAGAAGACTCATAACTGACTCTCCATCACTTAACAACCGAAGCTAAGCTAAAAGTGGAATACTTTCAGTGGATTGAAAGAATTGTTCAACTAGAATTATTTAACAAGAAAAAGTTACAAAAGAATGAAAACAAAATAAAGACATTTTCAGATAAACAAAAAATGCTAAGGGTTGCTAGTCGTATTCTCTAAGTGAAATTGTAAAGTGTGTACATGAGACAGAGACAGGAGATGAAGTCTGGAGGCATAAGGAGGAATGTAGAGGACAAAAATTTGGAATATATGTAAGTAATATACACAAATTAGACTAAATAAAACAATTAATTTCTTCTGCATTTTAGAGTAGAATTAAAACACCAAAAAACAAATAGTATATGAATTAGGAGAAGAGTAAAGATGTTGATTAACATTCTACTAGATGTTGATTACGTTCTACTTTCATCAGCATCATCTTGAAGTTTCTAGGTTACCCTTAACAGAACAGAGAATAATTTTCAAACTAGCAAAAGGGAGAAAAGCAGAGTGAGAAAAAAATGTCAGTCCAAAAAAAGGCGAGAAAGTATAGGGAAGTAAACTTAGCTGACATGGAACAAATTGAAAGCAAAAAATATTTTCATCCTGTATTAAAAACAAACAAACACCTCAACACCAGAAGGCAAGGGCAAGAATAGTCATAGCAGTGTGTTCATAAAAACAGCAAACAGAAAAGCAACTTGATGTTACCCCAAAGTCTGCCAACAATGGACTGAATGAATAAACGCTGGCATAGTCTTACAAGATGCTGTCCAACAGTGAAAATAAATGAACTCCAGCTATACACATCAGTGCTGATGAATCTCACAAACCCAATATGAGCAAAGACACAAGCCACAGAAGAATCTGGAAAATATTTAAGAGACAGTAGAAAAGCTGGATCAGCTGACTAACAGATTGATTTAAAGCCATCTGAAAAGACTGTACAGTCATCAAGGCAAGGGGATGGTTGCCATGGCGTCAGGAGAGCAGATGCCTGAAGAAGAGGACACCTCCAGGGAGGAGCAGCTGGGTCTTGCAGGCTGCCTGTCCTGTTCTCTGGCTGTGCCTTGTGTGGTGGTGCTGGGGAGCATACGTTTTATGTCCCCCTTTTTTGTGTCTCTCTAGCTATCAATTTAAAAATGAGATGGAATAAAAGAGCAGCCTTCCATGGAACCCTCTGAGACATCTAGGAGGATGAGTCTAGAGATCTAACCTACATACAACCTCCCAAGACTGAATCCTGAAGAAACATAAAATTCCAAGAGACCAATGAATAAGAGATTAAATCTAAAAAAAGAAAAACAAGGTCTCCCATCAAAGGTGGGGAACCTGGATGGCTCACTTGGTTGAGAGTCTGACTCTTAATTTTGGCCTCGGTCATGATATCATGGTTATGAGATTGAACTCTGTGTCAGGCTCCATACTGGGCGTGGAGTCTTTTTGGGATTCTCTCTCTCTCCCTCTGCCCCTTTCCGGCTCTCTCTCAAAAATTCTCCCACCAAAGAAAAGCCCAGTAAAAGATTGTTTCACCAGTGAATTCTACCAAACATTAACAAATAACACCAATCTTTCTCAAACTCTTTCAAAAAACTGAAGAGAGGGAATAGTCTTAAACTCATTTTATGAGGCCAGGGTACCCAGATACCAAAGCCAGGGAAGGATACTACAAGAAAACAAAACTACAGGCCAATATCCCTGATGAATGTAAATGCAAACACTTTCAATAAAGTACTAGCAAACTGAATTCAGCACATTAAAAGAATTACACACCATAATAAAATGTAATTTATCCTTGGAAAGCAATACAAATTAATGTGAGACACCACATTAACAGATAAAAGATTCATGTTCATCTCAGTAGATAAAGAAAAAGTGCTTGACAAAACTCAACATCCTTTTGTGATAAAAGCTCTCAATAAATTGGGTACGGAAAGAATGTACCTTAGCATAATAAAGGCCATATATGACAAACCCACAGCTAACCCTGTACTCAGTGGTGAAATGTTCAAAGCTTTCCCTCTAAGATCAGGAATAAGACCAGGGTGTCCACTCTCAGCGCTCCTATTCATCATTGCTGGAAGTCCTCGCCAGAGCAATTAGGCAAGAAAAAGATATAAAAGGCATCCAAATCATAGGGGAAGAAGTTAGATTGCCTCTGTTCACAGATATGTTGTGTATGCATACGGATGGTAAGAAAAGAAACAGTCCTGGGAAACTACGTAGGGACACAGGAATAGGGATACAGCTGTTTTTTATGGATAAGTAAGAATCTTGTTACTAATCCTGTCTACTTCTTGGGCTAAGAAACCTGGAGTTCAATTTCCTACTCACCTTTTAGAACTACATAGGACTTTCTTAGGCACTTACTCCCTTTGATTTCCTACTTTCTTCCTTTCTCCTAATTTCCTCCTTTGTATTTTCCTGTGCTTCAAATCCTCTTTGGAACAAAGTAGGTATGCATTTACACACATCATCATCATCCAAATTGATTTACAAATTCTTATGATCTGCCTTCTCAGCCTTATACCTATGCTAGCCCTGATATACATGTTAATACTGTCATATTTTGTTTCACCTTAGGTGTATTTCTGCTTTGATGCAACTGTGTACGTGGGATGAACCTGTGAGATTTGGTTTGCACCTTGGACTTGCTAACAGGCTATGTTCCCTTGATCAAATCACTTAACGCCTCTGAGCCTCAGCATCACCTGTAAGATGGTACTTGCAGGATTATGTAAAACACTAAAATGTTAAAAACTGCAGATGTTATTAAGTTCCATTTGCCATTCACTGGCTGGCTGATGTTGGTTAGATAAACTCTCTGAGCTGGTTTCTTCTCAAATAGGATTACCTGCTTTGTTTTTGCAGGATTTGGATGAATATATGTAAACAAAAGTGGACATATACAAGGCACGTGGCAAAAGACTCTTCAGGGTTTTTTTCTTTCCCTTTTTTACCCTGTCGCCTCTCCCTGGGAAGCCCTTTCTTACCATCTCTGTTAGGATGCAGCCATTCACAAGTTTAAGAGCATCTTTCCTGTTTCCTTTCCTAACCGTAACTTACCTTGTCCTTCTGAAGTTCCTCCATTGGCTTTTAAACCTCCGTCTTTAGTCTTTCTTGCTCCATGGCTCCCCGTTTTTTGGGGGCGGATTGTTTTCTCTTTGCATTCTCATAATACCTTGCATGCAGTTGATCATTACTTGCAGATTTTCCCGAGGACACTAAGACTCTGAGGCTACTCTCTGCGGCATGATGGCTCCCTGTGTGATCAGGTCACCTCACTGGTCCTGTTACAGGGTCAGAATTTTATGCACGTTAGTATGAGCAGCAGCAGAAGTAAAAGGTCATCACATCTGAAACTACATTTTATTGCATTACACCAGACGACAGGCACATTAGTGACGTCTGGGGAGGTCTTGTCTGCCCAGGTCCCCTGGTTTGTGAGTTCAGGTTCCCAGGACTTCGGCCCACAGAGTGCGGGAGGGGGCAGGGGAGGCCGTCCCGCGGGACCCCGGAGGATGACGCCACGCCGTGTTCCCTGCAATTAGGTGACACACGTAAACGTACAGGAGCACGTATGGGGCACCTGGCACATCCTTGTCGTTTTCCTTGTGGGTTTCGTCCACCAGGAAAGCTTTCTCACACCTGTGCCACTTCAGAGGGCACCTCCCCCGTTCTCCTGACGGCGGTCCAGGCTGCGGACTGCGGCTGGACACACACTGGAATGCGCGCCCCCCTCAGGCCAGACGTGGGGACAGCGGGTGACCGAGGGTGACCACAGCCCGCTCCCCTCCGACCGAGACTGACGGTGACCATGGCGCCCAGCCCCCCTCAGGCCATTGGGAAGGAGTGACCGCGGCCCTTCCGCTCCCCCAGGCCGGCCGTCGGGACCTAGGGAGAGGACGGCGACCACATGCCGCTCCCCGCCGAGCAGGCCCGAGGGTGACCCAGCGTGACTGCGGCCCGCCTGCCCTGTCAGACTGTAGGGACCCAGGGCGACTGAGGCGGGACCAAAGTGACCGACGGTGACAACGGCTGTCGGAGGCAGCGGCCGCCAGGCGACCGCGGCCCGAAGGCCCTCTGTCCGCACCAGGCCCGAACGGCGGACCGCGCATGCGCAAGGCGCCGCTCCCCGCCCCCACCGCGCGCCCGCGCCCAACGCCCCTAACGCGGCCTGCCGGGCCATGGAACCCGCCGAAGTTGGCTCGGTTCTAGCTCTCCCGTTCGCTCACTCGGGCGCCTTCCCCCCGTGAGGCCCGCGGGCGCTCAGACAGGGCTCGGCGGCCGCCCGCCCTCCCCGGCCGCTCCGCCCGCTCAGCCCGCCTCCGCCGCTCGGCCGGGCGCGCGCCGCGTCCCCGCGGCCGGTCCCCGCGCGTGCGCGCTCCGCCGAGTGTATGTGTGTGAGTGTGTGTGCGGCCGAGGGGTGGTCCGCCGCCGCCGCCGCCGCCGCCGCCGACGATGCCGCGGGGCCGCCCCCCGAAGCCCAAGGAGAGCAAGGCGCGCGGCGACACCGGTAAGCGGCCCCGGCCCGGCCGGCCGCGCTGTGCCGCTCCGCGCGAATATAGTCCCCGGATGCGGCGCGAAGGGCGCCGGGAGCGGCCCGGGGGCGGCGGGGCCGGGGGCGGCGAGTGGGGCCGGGGCCGGGGCCCGCCGCCGCCGCGCCCGCCGCCTCCACAGCCGCCGCCGCCCGAGTGCGGGCCGCAGGGCGCGGGCGGAATGATACCGGCGCGGCGCGGCGGGCCCCTCCGCCGGGCTGGGCCTACTTTCCTGGGCCGGGCGGGCGGCGGCGGCGGGGCCGGGGGCGAGGTGCGCGCCGCCGCCGCCGCCCTCCCCCCTCCCCCCCCCCCCCCTACTTTCCTGGGCCGGGCGGGCGGCGGCGGCGGGGCCGGGGGCGAGGTGCGCGCCGCCGCCGCCGCCCTCCTCCCTCCCCCTCCTCCCCCTCCTCCTCCCCCGGCCGCCCTCCTCCCCTGCCGTCCTCCGCCCGCGGGGATCCGGCCTCCCCGGCCCGCCCGCCGCCCAGCCCGGCGTTCCCGGGCGGCCGGCCTGAAAGAGGCGCCGTCCGCGGGCGGGTCGCGGGGACGCCGGGCCCCGCCGCCATCTCCGAGGCCCCGCGTAGCGTGGGCGGACGGCAGGGCCCGCCCTCCCCGTGGGCCTGAGGGCGCGGCGGCCCTGCCGCCCCGGAGCGCCGAGTGCGCGCTCGCTGCGCGGCCCCGGCGGGGAGGCCCCGGGGAGGCCCTCGAGCGCGCGGTCCGGGGGGGTCGGGCCTGAGGGACCCCTGAGGGGACCCGGCCCGGGGCCTGGAGGCCGGGGGTGGGGGCGGGGGACCGGCAGGGCCCGGGGGCACTGGGGGCACCGGGGGCGGGTCGTAGAGGGGGCTGTGCGGACGTAGGGACGCGCTCCCGGGGCTCGTACCTGTCGCTAGGTGGTCCCGAGCCCGGCGGCCCGGCGGCCCCTTCCCGGAGGAGGGTAAACGGGGACCCGCTCAGGGGCTGGTGCGCGCACCACGCGCTGGTTTTCAGAACGGAGAAAGGCCGTTCTGGAAACTGCAGCTCGATGGTGTGTGATTTTGCTCTTCATCGCACGTAGGGAGAGAGCGGTAGAGACCAGCGAGTCGTGTCAACGTACTGACGGGACGTCCCTGGCTGGACGCTCTTACTGCTCGTCTCCTAGTGCGTCCGGTTAGGACCGGCGCGCGACCCGGCGCCCAGACCGAGCGCGAGGCCGCCCCTCACCAGGCTTGTAGGGGCCCTGGGGCGCGCGCTGGGGAACCGTCCGGGGTGCAGGCCTGCGGCCGGGCAGTAGCTGCTCAGGGTCTTGACCAGCGCCTCTTGGCGTCTGGAAGGACCTCAGGGCTTGGCTTTGGCTTTAATTCCTTCAGTGGTTTTACTTTTGTTAAGGTGCCCAAAATAATATGAGGTGCTGGAAAGAAGGCCTGGGGGAGAGAATGTAAAATTGGTCTGGAAACCGGGCCCCCCAGTCCCTCCCGTCGTCCTCAAGGGCATCACCGTTCACCTGCGTTTTCAAGCCCCAGACCTAAGAATTCTCTCTCTCATCCCCCAAGACGGTTCGTAATTAAGTCTCGTAGCGTCTCCCTCAGAAGTGTATTTGCAGTGAGCCCCACCCTTCCGCGTGCTGTGTCCTTGGCTCCCGGTGGACTTGAGGCCCAGGTAGGCTGGCCCCCTCAGAAGCCCATCACCAGTCCCTGGGGGAGCTCTTTAAAATGCACATCAAATGGCCACACCCTGAGTAAAACTCTTCAAAGGATTTCTCTTAAGTAAAATCCACATTCCTGCAGGATCCTAGTTGATCTGGCCTTTGTCTAGGGCTCATTGCCCCCTTCCTACTGTAGCATTCAGTTCCTCGCTTGTTCCTCGCGGATATTCTGAGAATCCGCCTCCTCGACTCCGTCCTTAGGTCTCAGGGCGGCAGCTTCCTAAAAAAGGCCTCCCTCAAACCTGTCTGCAATAATAACTTCACGTTCCACCAGGCTTTTTCTGCCTCAGTGGTTCTCAGAGTGTGGTCCGTGGACCCTTGGAGTTCCTGGAGACACTTTGGGGGCTCCGCAAGGTAAATCTTTTCATAGCCATACTATTTGGTTTCCTCACTTGGTGAACATTTGCACTGATTGTACAAACATGATTGGGGTAAAATTGCTGATGCCTTTGCACGAGTCAAGGCAGTGGTGGCACCAAACTGTGAAGCTGCGTTAACTTCATGCATTTCTCTCAAAAAACAACATAGTCAATCGGTCACAGTAAAATAATTTGCAGGAAAATGAAACACAACATATTGATTGCAACAGAGAGAATGCCGAAGTAGATAGGAAGATCCACTTGTTTTTTCAGACATTAAAGAGATTTCCAAAAGTGAAAACTCTTTACTGTGTTTTTAAAGAATATACTTTTTAAAAAAGTATGTATTTGCATTAATATACGATAGATCTTTGTTTTTAAATGAAGAACTATTTTACTTTTTTTAAAGTGTTTTTATTTTGTAGAGAGAGAGAGATTGAGCAGGGGAGGGGCAGAGAAGGCTGGGGATAGGTAATCCGACGCAGGCTCCCAGGTTCTGAGCTGTCAGCAAAGAGCCTGACATGGGGCTGGAACTCATGAACTGTGTGATCATGACCTGAGCGGAAGGTGGACACTTGACAGGCTGAGCCACCCAGGCGCCCCAAGAACTATTTTAAGAAGTGCTCAGTCTTAGTAGGGCAAATAATGATATAATCTCTATAAACTTAAGGTTGTTGGAATCCTCGGTAATAATTAAGAACATCAAAAGATACCGAGTTCAAAATATTTGAGGATTGTTGCTCCGTCATTTAACTCTGCTAATAATATTCCTCATTACCCGAATTACCTTGTTTTCTGTGTTACCATTATGAGATTTATTTCTAAGGAGAACGTGGAAGATTGGTGGGGATTTTTACAGATGTAGGAAATGTAGCTCAGAGAGGTGAAGTGATTCGGAAGGTTTACCTGGCTGGTCAGCAGCATGGCGGGGCTTTGAATCCACATTGGACCAGATAGTGCGTTTCATTGTTTCACCTTGATAAATATAAGGCCCTACGTATGGGTTAATTTACTCAACAAATATTTTAAAGCACTTCCTGTCGCTGTGCTAGAGGCTGGGTTGCAAAGTTCAACAACAGAGATGTGACCTCTGCCTTGGCTCTTTGGGACCCTGTGCCCTGAAGGTGACAGAGGAACACCACTTTGGGTGGCAGAGAACAGTCACTGGGAGTCTAGGATTCCCGGAGAAAATGCCATCAGAATGGAAACCTCAATAGGAGCTGGGGGTAGGCTCACCGACGAACCTTTCTCGAAATAATGATTGGCTCAGGACGAGAGTGCAGTGGGCCCCCTTTATCCGATGTGTCCATCTGTTCTGTCCTCGAAGCACATGATCCTCTCTCTGACCTGTCCTCAGAAGGTCATGGTGGCCTCACTCTGTGACCCAGTGCCTGACAGGCCTAAGGTCACTCAGCTCCCTTCATCTCGTCCTCGGGGACTGTGTCATCTTCTGTCATCACAAGAAGGGCAAGCACAGCCCAGTGAGAGAGAGGGTGACCCCACGCACACAACTTCTACGGAATGTTGGTGTGGTTGTCTACTCAATTTTTAGCTCTTGGTAATCTTGTACCGCGCCCAGTGTGTAATCTCGTACCGTGCCCAGTGTGTGCTCAACTTCATGGCAGGTGTGTAGGCGTAGAAGACCGGATGTATAGGGTTCCTCAGCCTCTGGTTTCTGGTGTCCGCAGGGGTCTTGCAGTACATCACCTGTGGGTGAGGGGGACCCCTGTAGTGAGTGAGGCTCCGCTCTGAGTGAGGGGGAGTGTTATCGAGCGCTTGCTTTGTGCCCGGCACTATCCTCGGTGTGTAAGGGTGGGTGAGAGAGGAATTTGCCTTCATCATACTTCGTTGGACTGAGCAGTAGTGACCTTGATGAATCCACGTCTTGGGATCTCGTCTGGCTTGCATTTGGTCTTTGCAGTGCACGGGGCACACTTTTTCTCCCAAGCGGTCCCGGCAGTCAGCCTGCTCACTCTCCGTCTGTTAGAGGGATGTGTGTAATGCTTCCTTCCCAGAGAGCAGGGACAGACAGGGCCTGCACCCAGTGAATCCCAAGTCCTCTGTTGCTCAGATGGCCACTCCACGTTTTACTGCCTGCATTCAGGACGTCTCCTCTTCCCGCAAGGGGACTTGACTAGTGGGAAGAGCTCAGAGCACAAAACTCAGAGTCGGGTTTTGTGTGCAGGACGGCGGGAGGGCCCGTGCCCTCAGATTTGGAGGTGACCCCTCCGCTTCAGCAGGGAGAACTAGGTACTCCTGGCGGTGACAATTAAGGGGAGACAGCTTCTGCTTCACATAAGAGCTTTCTGACAATATCAGGTGTCCGAGGATGAAAAGATTTTTTCGTAAAGGAGCACCCCTCACTCTCTGTAATTGAACTTTTTAGGTAGGCAGAAACTTGGAGTTTTTAGTATTGTGAGGAAAATGTATTAGGCAACACAAAATTTAAAGATTTTATGAGCCTGGAAACAAGTATTGAGTTAACACGGGTTCAAAATCTTGGTCTTTCTGCAATAAAGGAAAAATATTTCATTACAAGGATTTATTTAAAAAAAAAATCTTGTTGTTTGACACAAATACAGCTTGGGGGAAACCGTACTAAAGCATAATTCTTCATTAGATAAAGTCAACTCAGCAGTTTTTAAAATAATCGTTATCACATATCAGGATCTTTGTATTTTCTCTGTATGCAAAGACTGTGTTTCTCTGTGCAAG